GTTTACTTGCAACAAACACAAGATTGGTTGCTTTGAATTATTTGAGTTTAATTATAGTGTGAAGTAGTGATGATCAGATAGAAATATTTTATTTAGGGTTTGAGAGAGGAAAATTTCCAATATTTAACATGGTTTTGGTGTTGGCTGGTTTCCCGCTGATATATATGAGAAGCTTTTTTGGTGTGATAACTGAACAATGATTTTGGTTTGTTAATTATGTATACATATGTTCACTACATAATACACCTATTCGAGACTTAATTCCATGCATGCAATTTATCAATATAATTCTTAAGATCGGTTTAGGCCATCTCATTAATAATTATAACTCCCTCCTGAGGTTAGTTTAAACAACCTCTCATATATATGCATACATACAGACATAGATATATGTATTGTAATAATTGTCACTCTCTCCCTTGGTAAAAAAAAAAAAAATTATAATAAAAAAAACCTTTAACTGTAGGATTTAAGTGTGAATTTTATACTGTTCTTATGCATTGGAGTGCTTTGATTAACAAAGGGGAAAAAAAAACCGAAAAGACTTTGTCCCATGTCCTTAAATTAATTTAATTAGTACTTAATAGCTCTCAGATGCGCTATAGCTGCAAGTTTTGCTACAACTGCAATTGATCTTGTGGTTCATTATTAGAGTACTACCGCGATACCATCAATACTAAGATGGAGGAGCCCACACACGATCAGTTTCCAGCCTTTCAGGTGGTGAGCCCCAGTAGGCCAGGAGTTCCGCTGGGGCGCCATTGCCAAAACCAGTGTGTATGTACAGTCGTTGACTACATTCTTTTCCGATCTTATTTTTGACTTTCTGATCTTCACGTTATAAGAGTACTGCACTTTTAATTTTGTATTGTGAGCACCACACTTCGATACATATACAAATATATACATACATATATATATATATATATATCGATGGTAGGTGTTCATTTACGGCCTTATTGATGGCATTGCATTACTCTCACATGATATTTATGTATCTTTCACTAATTTGCATTAATCATGTAAATGTATCAATATATTATATCTGCACGTTTCATCATAATTAAGTGGCTAACTCATTTTAGTTAATTACTTTAAACTTATGGAACAGTTTTATATATTTAATATTGTCCAGCCTGTGTATGCGAGTTCATTTCTTTCTTTACAGGCAATGCGAGGTGTATGGCTCATCATCCAGGGCTTTAACTACACACACGTGTGTGTGTATATGTACACACATGTCTATATATAGAACACCAATGAATCAAGCTGGCTTTTAGCATGCATGGCATTATTTAATAGGATGTTTACAGTTTATACTTTCATTTTATTTTTTTTTAAGTTTCTGCGTGAGGCTTCTTCTATATATCCTAATTTTTAGTTCACCTAGCCCCTTTCCGCTGGCCAATTGTAGCTATATATATATATATATAATTTGGAACCAAAAACACTGCAAGAGGAAAAATTTATATTTGGACTATATTAATATATAATTAAGCATTTACATTATTTACATAATTTTAACGCTTCTATGTATGGAGATATATATATATATATATATATATATATGATATATACTTTATTATATGTATAAATATATATACACACACACACACTCTTGAATCTGGCTTATATGCACAATGCGTGTCATATTCCATGCAGTTAGCTAGTAATTAGTATAGTAGAGCTATGGGAAAATGGCTTTTGGTTATGAAAAAAATTGAAATAGCGCCCGCGCCAGGGTGGGCGCGCCCGCGCTCCTCTTGTGCTGAAGTAAAGTTTTTTTTTTGGCTTTTTTTGGCCCTTGATCATTATGGTTGGCCATTTTTGAGTCTTAGATAAATTTAGATTAAGTTATTTTCCAATTTTGGGCATACAAGAGGAACCTAGTTCCCAACTTGAAGAGGATTAGAGGCACAAAAATTTCTAGAGAGAAGAGTTTGGAGTTGGAGATTTTTGAAAAATGCTTGGGAGAGATCCTTGAAGAGTTGAAGGCTTGAAGTTCATCTCCACAAGAGTTTTCTCTTCCTTCTCTCTTTTCTTTGTAGTTTTTTAGTTTTTGTTCTTGAATTTGTGATTTTGGTTATGGATTCCTCTATGTTGAGCTAGATTATTATTCTAGGACTTGATGTAACATTGTTTGAACTATGTTTTGAATATTTTGTCAATTGTTAGTTTAATTTCATTTTAATTTATTTATGTTTCTCTATGCTTAATGTTTCTAATTTATGTGGCCAATGAGTTAAATTTTTTTTAGATTGTGATTTTGATGCTCGAGAGAGATTAATTTTATAGTCCGAAATTAGGAATTATAGTCCGGGAGCAGATCGACACTTAGATAATCAAAATATAATTTATTTACTATCAAAACTTAACACTGTACGCTTGCAGGCAAACACATATCATGAATATTTCATTTAATTTTACTATCAATAAAAGAGAAAAACACGTTGTCAATTAAGTCCTGAATTTCTAATTCAAGAAGGAGGACTACTCCACACATACGTACGGACTATATAATTATAAGTCCATTTCAGATATATACAATTGGTCAAAATTAATGCGTTTGATTGATGCACGGACGATTTATTAATTGAATCAAGCAAATGCTCGATCGAAAAACGTTGTCTAAATTTGTTAGGAGACTATTAGGTTGCAAGTTACGTTCATTCAAAATAAGGTAGTGTGCAAAGAAAAGTTTTATATTGATGAAATATGGAATGAACTCTTTTTTAGCAAATAGTAGATTTTTAAAATTAAGTTAAGTAAATGATATATTTTAAAACTATTTAAGGTAAATAATAGTTTATATGGTAATTAAATGATTCATCTGTGACTGTTAGAAAATAACTTACGTGGTAAAAAATTTTAAAAATCTTTATTTACATGGAAAAAATCTTTTGACCAATTGTAAAAAGAAAATTTACGTGAAAAAAAGTTTTTACTAGTCGTAAACAAACCATTTATGCAGCAAATGATTCATTTACCACATAAACTGCTATTTATTTCAAATAGTTTTAAAATATGCTGTTTACTTTATTTAATTTCATAAATATGTTATTTACTACATTCTAAGATGGAACCAACAAGAGAAACAAGTGGTATAAGTCTTAAGAGGCATTAACCAAAAGGGAAAAAGAGGGTCAGGATTTTTATTCCTTACTCTTATAATAATTTTTTTTAGTGAAATAACTATACTAATAAAAGGGTATTAATAAAAAATAAGAAGTAAAAATCAAGACTGATCATGCACTTTTAAAGATAAATTTTGTAATTTTCTTAACTAACCCCCCACCAACGAAACCAAGAAACATGAGATGAAGGTTGATGGGCTCAAAATGGAAGATAAAGGAGCTTGAGTAATTTGTAAAATTACAAATTTATTAGAAGAAAAAATTACACAACGTACATACATAGACATAGCTAGGTAGAGGTGAGAGGGGGATTAGGGTGCATTTGGTAGTGCTTCTTCGAGCCCAAAATCACTTCTTTAGCCATTAAAAGCTGATAATGGTGTTTGGTAAAAACCATAAAAAGTGATTTTTAAAGAATTTTTGAAGAATCTACAGCCAAAATCAGAAGCAGCCCAAAGGTAACTTTAACTTTTACATTGTGCGGGAATCAGCACAGTACAATTAATGATTATCAACAAAGTTCTATTAAATAATTAATTATTAATTACTAATTATATTATATATTAATTAACAATTAATAAATTGATATACTTAATAAGTAATAAATATATAGTAATTACTTAATTAGTAATTAAATATTAATTTATTACTATTAAGTTTTTAATTTTGTTAATAAAATAATAAATAATATAGTAATTATTTATTTAGTTAAAGATTAATTGCCAAAACTTAATTATATAAAATATGAACAATAAAACAAGTAATAATAAGTTATTAAATAAATAATTAATAATTAATATATCGATCATATATTATGTTAATTATATTCTATTAATTAGTAAATAGTTGGTAAATGAAAAATAAATAATAATTACTCAATTAATAATTAATATTAAATTATAATTATCAATATATAATATATTAATCAATAGTAATTAATAATTAATCATTATAAAAAGAATCATTATCAAAAATTGATCATGTGATATATCAAATAATAGATTATTAAATAAAAATGAGTAATTAATTAATTATTTATTTAATTATGTAACTAAAAGTTAATAATTACGTATAATCTAATTAATATGAGTACATTAGTAACATAATAATTACTATTTATAATTCTTTAGCATATTAATTTATTATATATATAGTTTAATTACTAATGTACTCATTAATGATAATCTATCCATTATTATTATATTATTAATATATTAATTTTTATTTGCTAAATAATTATTAATTACTTTATATATTAATTTAAAATGATTAATTACGGTCATCTTAACTACCCACAGTAATTTAACCTCACAATTTACCAAACGCTATTACACTGCTTTTGAAACTAACAACACTCGTATATTACAGTTTACCAAACACTCATCTGCTTTTTATAACAGCTGTTTTTTCTTTCAGCACAGCTAAAAGCCATTTTTTCATAATCTACAAGACTACCAAACTAGCCCTTAAGCCCCCACCCACATTTTTATTCTTCTAAAAACTAACATATTTTCTTGTAAAATTAAAATATTAGCCCCCATAAAAATTGTGAAAAATCATTTTATTCTCCCTTAAATTTAGATTTTTATTAGTCCCCACAAAAATGCCTCACCCAAATCTACATATATTTCATAAAATTAATAATAAAAAATTCAATTTATCTAAGGAAAAAAATTAAGCCCTTACTTACAAGAAATTCTGGGCCCCGTCACTGCTTATATAGTAATATTTTAATGATATTAATTTTTGGTATTTATAAAATGTTTTAAATTTGTTTACTAAATTTCAATGCTAGTAAAATTTATGATATTAATTTTTGGTATTTATAAAATGTTTTAAATTTGTTTACTAAATTTAAATACTAGTAAAATTTTGCTATATATCTAATTTTTCCAAAGTGATTTATCTTTAAGAGATTAACCGTGTATAATAGAATCCCAGTATATCTAATGTTCTATTTAACATAATTTATGAATCCAAGACTTGTATAATGATCAATGATCATGTAATTGGATTGAAGCGTTTAATTTGCCACAAAATGACACTCGCTGGCTAGCTTTTGTGGAACCCTTTCCCAGCTATAACAACTCTCGTCGTATATATATATATTTTATCTCATAAAAATTTAAATATAATTTTAATTATTATAATATATTTTTTTTATATAAACTCACTTTTCGACTCAAATTTTTTAACTCGCTATAAAAATAACGGCCCTAATAATTTTCAAAAATTACCTAAGGATTTCATAATTCTCTTTTGTATCTATCTATATGTATAACATGTTCGCTGTCACACTGTAAAACCATGTCCACAACCACACAAAAGATAAAGTTGAAAAAAAAAGAAAAATCGGTGCCTCTTTTCTCGTGTAGCAATTACCATTAGATTCTCCGGAAAATATGTCCTTGGAGGCCCTCCATAGTCAACTTTTCACATTCTTTTTCTTGCCTTTTTCAGGCTGCTTTTTTGAACACTCAAAAGAACTTTTTTTAAGAGCTTTTTAACAGACTTGAGAGATCAAAACAAACAAGAGAGAGAATCGCAACACAGCAAAAAATGGGTTCTGGGAATAACAACTTCCTCCAAGTTGTGCTCAAGAACTTCGATGTTCTTGCTTTGTAATATTTCTAATTCTCTCACATACACATAACACATTTTGTTTACATTTTTCAGAATAACTAATTACCATTTTCCACTTGGTATTATCTAATTATTTTGTTTGTCATTTGCAGGCCTCTAGTGGCTCTTGTTTATCCTCTGTAAGTCTTCTCCAACACCCACATTTTCTTTTGTATTACTAATTTAACATAAATTTAAAGAAATTAATATATATATATATATATGATTTTTTTTTCCTTCTCACAGGTATGCTTCAATTAGGGCCATAGAGACCAAGTCCCGTACAGATGATCAGCAATGGCTTACTTATTGGGTGCTGTATTCTCTGATTACACTATTTGAGCTCACTTTTGCCAAACTCATAGAATGGTAAGCAATTATGCCCTTAATTTTCTTAAACTAAGAACTTCTGTTATGTGTTACTCGGCGCATTGGAATTAGATAACTAGAACACAATGACAACAAATTAAAGAGCTGTATAATATGCAGAGAATCTTTTTGTTAGGTACACAACTAAGTAGAACAAAAGAAGTAGTAGATCCGTAAGCTTTTGGAACATGAAAGTTGTTTCTTTATTTTAATGTTAAAGAATGGGATTATCTTTAGTTATCCTCCACTAAAAATGGCTTTCTTCTTAACATTTCAATTTTTATAAAATGAAAATGATTAAGATCTTTAATTTCTAAATGTTGCTTAAAAAGAATCTCCACCATTTCTTTCAAAAATAAAAAAAAGGGGCAAAAAATACTGCTTGAAGCGCTCAATCCCTTGATGAAATCAAGTGAACAAAATAATGGAGCAATAAAAATTCAGGATTTACCAAAACAGGATTCTTTCCTAATTTCAAAAGAAAGAGGAAATGTTGATTTTAGGGAACACAAATGAATGATCATGGACTTGTTAACTTTGTTTTATGCTTTCTTTAGGAGTCAGGCTGACTTGTACTTTGATAATTTATTTTATGCCCTTTTTAAATGTCAGGTTCCCAATTTGGCCCTATGCTAAGCTTATTCTGACATGTTGGTTGGTCCTGCCACACTTCAATGGGGCTGCATATGTTTACAAGCACTTCGTCAGACCATTTTATATGAACCCACAAATACAAATACAAACTTCTCAAATGTGGTATATCCCACGGAAGAAGAACATCTTTAATAAGCCAGATGACATCTTAACTGCTGCTGAGAAGTACATTGAAGAACATGGAACTGAAGAGTTTGAAAGGATTATAACCAAGGTATACAATATTTACCTGATATTATTGTTTGAGCATTTTGATAATAACAATGTTCTGCTAAGTAATAAGGTTTTTGGACTATTTCTATTTCCCCTGTTAGATGCCAGAAGTAGAAAAAAATAAAAATGAGCTGTTACTAATTAAAAAGAAAAAACTGCTAGTCTGTTTAAATTTACTGCTTAGTGCAGTGAATTCTGCAGCCTTGTTTTCTCTTTTCTCTTTAAGATTTTAATAACCTGTTGGCTTAATTCAAATTTTTGTGAGGAAAAATTACTGTTACAGAAAGGTTTAAATTGTAGTTAAAATTTATGAAATAAACAGGTCTCAACTGTATGCAAGGAGGGTTTAATCAAAGAACGAGTTTATTTTATTGAAAAAGAACAACCCAAATTGTTTTTCCAAACGTCAAGAGATCCTTAAGGATCAATCAAATTCAGTGAAAAACGTAGGGTGGCTGGACAAAATGACACTAATAGATTAGACTGATTTCGAAATTTCAATGCAAGTCTTTACTCTTTAAGGCTTTGTTTGGTAGCTTTTATTATGTTGTATTGTATAAGATGTATTGTATGTGTTGTATTATCATAATACAATACGATTTTTAGTGTCATGACGTATTATTTATAAGGGTTAAAAATGCAAAATTTTAATAATTTTAGAGTCAAAATGTAAATTTTGAAAAATTTTAGGGTCAAAAATATATATTTTTCAAAAGTTTTAGGGTTAAAATATACTTTTATAAAAATTTTAGGGTCAAAATATAATTTTACAAAAGATTTGAGGTCAAAATGTAATTTAAAAAAAAAAAATTGCATTATGCCCCCTAAATTTTTCAATAATTATAGGCTCCGGCATGACCTTATATTGGCCCGACCCCGACCTCTAATCTTGTCCAACCCCGACATAAATTATTGATTTATTATAAAATAATATAATACAATACGTCAAAAATAAACCGTATTCAATAATACAATATAAATCGTATTAATTTACTATCTGTAATAGTTTATACAATACAATGATCACACTAAACATTGTATTATTATATTATTATACAATACAGTGTTTTAATACGATCAAACAAACATGTCCTAACATGGATATGATTCAACATCATGGGAATTATATTCATCCTTTTCTTTACACAAGTCCAAAATTTTCACTGAAATGGAATAGCAAAATTACAAAATTGACTATCATAATTCTAAAGTTCAAAAGTTTCATCTTCATTTTGATTGTAACCACACTTAATTATTTATGTCAATAAATGACATTCGCTGACATTAATGCAGGCTGATAGAGAATCAAGAGCCAGGAGAAGCAGCAATTATATGATCTTTGATGATGATTATCGGTATTAATTAAGTTTTGTCTCTCTGTATGGTATTGTGGTTGGTACAAATCCCATGGCTATATATTTACCTCTCTTCTAAACCGGATTCTGTTAAATATATATATGATGAATATCGTCTTTATCTAGTGTTTGGCTTTCTTTTCCACTCTTGAGTCTTCCCTTAGGCTGTGGAATATTGGTGCTGTATCTAAAGGCGTTTTCATGAAGGATGTGAAACCAAAGGAGTTTGATTTGGAAAAAACCAAGGGAATGGGATGAAACTGAAATTTTTACTTGATGGGTTCATGAGGAATATATCAACTGCTCCTTTTTATTCTATTTACAATTTTTGCTGTGGTTTCGAAATAATTTAGGTCTAAAGAGATTAGGAAGTTTTATTTCCGAAAACAAGATAAACGAGGAAAAAGATGAAACATGTTTTTGTTGTTGCAAAAATCATATTTTCCAACATTATCATTATTGAGTTCCCCTGTACCGCAATAACATTAGATAAGCCAAACAATGAGGTAGGTTTTTTTTGTTCTTGTTGCCGAATTGAAGAAGCAAAACATTAATTTTTTTTTTTTCATGTGGAAGTGCAGCAAGGCTTATCGACATATCATTCATTCAATAGTATTATCAGCCATAAAAAGAAAAATAATAATAGTAATACTAAGATCATTAGCAGTTTCTAGTGGTACTAAGCACTACCATCTAATAGAATGTGAATCCTGTAATATGAGATTTATAAATGGGGCTCACGTTCTATTAGATGGTGGTGCTTAGCACTGGTGGTGCTTTTAAGTATTTTTCAAAAATGATATTCCTTAAGAATATGTTTATTTTATGAGTTTTTTTATGAGTTTAAACTCATAGTTTTAATTTTATTAGAGTGTTTTTCTCACCAAAAATTTAAATTTCAGAATTAAAATCGCTTGTTTAACCCAAATTATATGATGAACAGTACTATTGTTCATATCAAGAAACCAAACCAAACCAAAAAGCCAAGTAATAGACACTATTAGGCGTCAGCGGATGAATACATGAAGGAAGGACTTAACTGCTTAGCTAAACCAAAAGTACTTTGTTCTCAATTAAAAAAAAAACAGTAATTTTTTTCCCCTAAATATGCGGATGCATTTAAATTGCCAATTTCGAAGGTCATAACAATAGTGACGGTTCTATCTCCTTTATTAAAGTTCTTTGATAGTAACGAGATGACATTTAATACATAATAATTACATAAGTAGACACACATTTTGGTCTGCATGTTAATGCTAGACGTTAATTAAATGGACGCAAAAGTTTGATATTAATAACATCAAAGATGTCCCAAAACGCAAAATTCCAATATTTTCCCCTATCAAAGGAGCCCCGGAGCTAGAAAAATTAATAAGATAGGGGTATGATTGAGTAAATTAGGTGGGCAAATAAAGAGATGCAAAATTTTAGTAGGGAAAATACAAATTTTATATAAAAAATTAAAAACAAAAATTCAGGTAGAGCTACGTTGGGTCAGCTGGCCCCAACAGTTCAAGTGGCTCGTTTAGACTATAACCCTAAAACTATACTTTTACAATTTTATTCTTATTTCGCCAATTTCAGATTTGTAATATTTATGAAATTCTTAAAAAAATTTCAGCTATTCTCAAATATTTACTTTTAAATTTTGATATACTTATTTTTTTATTTAAAATACCAAATTAGTAAAAATCGACCACCATATTACATGAAGAATAATTGTGTGGACCGTTAAATTCAAAAAATTAATTAAAATTATTATAATATTGTTTTAGTAAAAAATTTAAGCTTAATTACCGTGCCACTGAAAATTTTTTGTAACCCTTCCTCATCCATAGGTGACTCGGTCCTTGGAGCCAATTATAATACAATGTAATGTCTAAGATTGATTTTTGTTTTAAGAAAATTAAAAACACAATTAAGACTATCTTCAATGTAAACGTTAATTGTATATTTAATATTAAAAAATGTGATATGGTATGTTATTTTTATTTTTACTATAATGTATAATATTATTTGAAATACTAAATTTACTTTTTCTCATCATCTTTGAGCTTTAAAAGTTGTAAAAATAAATTATATTTTTAAAGTAATTAGAGAATACAAAAATTACAATGATTATATAAAAAAATAAATATTTTAATTAATAGTAATTAAATATTAAAATTTTCATATGTTATATTTAGTAAAAAAAAATTTATAATAAATAATATTATATTAAAGAGTATTTTTAAGCTCAAATATTAAATTTATAATTAATTTAATAAATTAATTATAAATAGGGCGAATGAATGAGGGTTTGTTTTTTGTGACCATATAGGCAAGTAAAGGAAACAATATAGTTTGATACGGATACCCAACCAAGGAACTAAGGAAGAAACGACAAATAAACGGACAGATAATTACAAGCGTATTAAAGACAAAACCATCTCCATCTCAGAGATTTCAGTTGCTGACGTGGCACCTAAAAAGACAAAAATAACAATAAAAAAAAATTCTCTGATGATTTGTTGCGACGAGAAAATAAAAAAAAAAACTCTCCTGTTTGGCACAGACAAGAATCAGAGAGAGAGGGAGAGAGGTGCGCACGTTAGCAATTCTTGAAATCTCTTCTTAGACAGATCATCAATTCACGTTCGGGAGAATATTTGGTAGCCATTGACGACCTTGGAGCTTTCGGAAACCGGTACACGCTTATAGTTTCCTCCGAATTCTTCCATTTTTTTTCTCTATTTTTCTTTTTGTCAGCTGAACGACCTCAGATTCGAAGAAAATGGCCGAAATTTGGCGAGTTTCTGAGCTTTCGTCGCAATGTAGGTAAATCCTATCGTTGTTGCTTTTATTTGCGCTCATTTGCTCTTGGATTGATGCTTTTCGCGGAGAACATGCACCGGAATCGAGGAGTTTCGCAGGAACTTGCGCGTGTAATGGAGCTCTAGGGTTTTTCTTTTGGTCTTCAGACGACTGGTCTAGCTCGCGTTGTTTTGGAGCTGAATGTGATTAGCGGAGAGCTTCTATGCGTTTCATTTCTTGGCTTGGTTTTGGCGCATTTTGACTTTTAGGGCTTTTTAGGGAGTTTTAAGGTGCAATTTTTGCGGAACGTTTATGGTGCTATGATGGGGTAGCTATGAAGCAATTCCTTTCTTTGTTTCCACGAATTTTGCTCAGAAGTTGAGTAAAGTGTTTCTTTTCTTTTACATTTTTCTTTCTTATTTTGTTTCAATGGGGAAAAGTTGGATATTAGACTATGGTATTGGAAGTATCTGGGGCTGTTGTTGTTTGAATCTGTATTGGGTCCTCCACTCCAGCTCAGGGCTTGACATTGCAACTTGAATGGCTGATTCTCAGAGAAGTGGTATTGCCGAAAGGGATATCGAGCAGGTCTATTTTTGCTTGTTTCATTCTGTTTTCATAACCACCCACCCAAATAACTTATCTTGAGAATTGGTTTACTCTTTTAACCTTATTCTTCTGTTAAACTAGTTAGTTTAAGACACATATACAATAGTCTATGAAACAAGCTATAAATCATATTCGTTATCTTATTACTGTTGAGTTTTTAAGTCATTTTTATATTCCCACTGTTCTTCTCTGAAACTCATTTCTCAAATAGTTATATGCCGTTTGCAAAAATGTTATATTTCGTGCATTCATTAATCAGCATTATGCCAGCAAGAGATTCAAATCATGCATTTCAATGAACATCTAACTGAAAGCTGATACGGATTTGCAAGATAAAAACTTTCCTATCCGTTGTGAGTGTGATGCCGGCAAGTAATTTTTTCTTTCATATTCTTTTTGTAGGCCATCACAGCTCTTAAGAAAGGCGCATGTTTACTTAAGTATGGTCGTAGAGGGAAACCAAAGTTTTGCCCATTCCGGCTTTCTAATGTAAGTAGTTGTGAACATTTCCAAAGAGATTCTACACTTCGTTTTCAAGTGGAACACAAAGTTTCAGCTTTACTTCAGAGTACCAGGATCTGTTCCCTAAACTAAAAAAATGAAAGATGATGTTGAATGTAGTTAGATTCAAAATATAGATTACTCCAGCTTAATCTCTTCCCAAGGAGAGGAAGTTAGAGCGAGTGCACATAGAACTGAACGTGATTGCAGGCCTCAGAAGTTAAAAGAACAAAGGATAAAAAGTGAGGGGTTGATTAATACGTGATTTCTGGAGTGTTTTACATTGTTTGTCCTATTTTTTCATTGATTTAATTTTTGGAATTATTGGTGATTTGAAATACTATTGAGTATGCAAACACGACACATTCCCACTTTTTTCTAATTTGAGCTCGGTGAGATTATGCACCCCCATATCTTTTCCTTGGACTCTCGAAAGCATGCTCCTATAGAAATAGTGATGGAAGAAGCATCTCTCATTCGTTACTATTTCTGTTTACCCAGTTCTTTTATTTATTTTTTTTTCAGGATGAGTCTTTATTGATTTGGTATTCTGGCAAAGAAGAGAAACACGTTAAACTAAGTCATGTTTCAAGGATTATTCCTGGACAGCGTACTGTAAGTTTGTACTCATTCCTTTTTTGTTGAGTGGCCTCACAAGGCTGAAAGTATTTTTCTAACCAATGTCATAAAAGGTTCTACATGCCAATGCCTGATTTCAAAATGATGATCACAACAAGGTTTTATTTGATGTTTAATCTGCACAGAACTGCCTCAAATGATCTTTCTCTTACTTTCTTTACTTGTATCCTACTACTTTTTTGGCAGCATTAATTTTCTCAAAATTTATGCTTACAATTGTCACTTTGTTTTCCAGGCGATATTTCAGAGGTATCCTCGACCTGAAAAGGAGTATCAATCATTTTCACTTATATATGGTGACAGGTCCTTGGACTTGGTGAGTTTATTCAGTAAGGTCTTTAACTTTTTATCCCTGAACTTATTGACCTATGTCAGTGCCAGAAAACATACCAATGATTCATTTAAGGTTTTTTTTTTTTTTTTTTTGCCGGGGGAGTTCATTTGCTAATTTAATTTATCAAAATAGGCGATTGAAGCAGATTAAGAAGATTGTTGTCTCAATAAAGAACAAATGGAGAATTAACCTGCTTATTTGAGTATGGTCTATTCCTTGTTTGTAATTGTGCTGATACCATCACTAACTTCTGGACAGATATGTAAAGACAAGGACGAAGCTGAAGTTTGGTTTGTTGGTCTAAATGCATTGATTACTCGAGACAATTACTGCAAGTGGAGAACCGAATTAATATCTGACAATGGATCAGTTGATAGTCCTAATACTCGTACTCGAAGAAATTCTCCATCCATTACTCCATTTGTCTGTACCAAATAATTTATTTCTACTTCTCTTTTTTCCCTCCTTATGTATTTTCATTGAAGTTCGAGAGATGTATTAAGTATTCAAGGTTTTTGTTTTTTCCCCCTTACAAATTACCACAGGATCCAGGAGACACAGATGGAGTCAACTTTGAGAATGTTTCACAGAGTAGATTAGGGAAGGCGTTTGCGGATATAGTTACATATACTGCAGTCACCAAGCGTTTCAATCAAGCTGGACCAGTTTTCAATCCTTCATTATCGCCTGCCTCTGTAGATAACTCCAATGGTAGAAGCTCTGCAGCTGAAGTATTTCGAGTTAGCTTATCTAGTGCTATAAGCTCATCCAGTCAAGGTTCTTGTCATGATGATTTTGATGCTTTAGGTGATGTTTTCATGTGGGGTGAAGGCATTGGTGGTGGCATATTGGGTGGCGGTGTGCACAGAGTTGGGAGTTTATTTGATACTAAGATGGATGCTCTTCTACCTAAGGCATTGGAATCGACAGTTGTTCTTGATGTTCACGGTATTGCTTGTGGTGGAAGACATGCTGTGCTGGTCACCAGACAAGGAGAAATTTTTAGTTGGGGAGAGGAAGCAGGAGGCAGGCTTGGTCATGGTGTGAAAGTGGATGTTTCCCAACCAAAGCTCATCGACGTTATTAGTGGCTCAAATGTTGAACTAGTAGCATGTGGAGAGTATCACAGTTGCGCTGTCACACTTTCTGGAGAGCTTTATACTTGGGGAGATGGAACTCACAGCTCCTCTCTCCTTGGGCATGGAAGTGAAGTTAGTCATTGGATTCCAAAAAAGGTATGTGGTCCTATGGAAGGCATACATGTATCGTATATATCTTGTGGACTGTGGCATACAGCAGTTGTAACATCAGCTGGGCAGTTGTTTACTTTCGGGGATGGTTCTTTTGGTGCCTTAGGGCATGGAGATCTCAGTAGCACTAGCATTCCAAGGGAAGTTGAAACTTTGAGAGGGCTAAAAACAACAAGGGTTTCTTGTGGTGTTTGGCATACTGCTGCAGTTGTGGAAATTATAAATGAGTTATCTAGTCATGAACCTTCTGGTAATTCTTCGTCTGGACAGCTCTTTACCTGGGGTGATGGAGATAAAGGGCAACTTGGACATGATGATAAGAAACCTAGACTTGTTCCTGTATGTGTAACTGCTTTGGTTGACAAGAAAATTTGTCAAGTTGCATGTGGCCATACTCTCACAATTGCTCTTACAACCTCAGGACAAGTGTATACCATGGGAAGTACTGCTTATGGACAACTGGGCAATCCTACTGCTGAAGGTAAAGTTCCTACTCAAGTTAAAGGTAAAATTGCAGAAACCTTTGTCGAAGAGATTGCCTGTGGTTCTTATCACGTTGCAGTTTTGACTTCCAAGACAGAGGTCTATACTTGGGGAAAAGGTTCAAATGGGCAATTAGGACATGGAGACAATGATCACAGAGATGCACCTACTCTCGTTGACTTTCTAAAAAATAAACAAGTAAAGAGTGTAGCATGTGGTTCCAACATTACAGCTGTTATTTGTCTTCATAAATGGGCATCCAGTGCTGATCACTCTGTATGCTTTGGTTGTCATAATCCTTTTGGATTCAGAAGAAAACGCCATAATTGTTACAATTGCGGGTTAGTCTTTTGCAAAGTATGTAGCAGCAAAAAATGTATGAAAGCTGCGCTGGCTCCAAACATGAATAAGCCGTATCGAGTGTGTGATGATTGTTATACCAAACTACAGCAGGCCATGGAAAGTAGTTCCATTCTGCGAAATACTAAGAGCAGAAACGGAAATGGGCACCATAAAACTGTTGAGGTAGCAGAAAGAGAGACCCGGGGTCCTAAATTACAGGCAACACTCTCCAGGTTCTCATCTTTTAGTTCAGCCAATCAAGTTGAAAGCTGGCATTCCAGGGGTGAGAATCAATTAGAAGCCAACTATAGCTACGTCTTTCCTCTTCTAAGTGGAGCTCCAAATTCTGTAGCTGGAGGTCCTAAGAAAGTTACAGCTGCTTCTGTCCCCGTGTCCAGAGTGATTTCTCGAGCAACATCACCTATTTCATTAAAGTTAAGCCCACCTTGGTCTTCTGAAGAAACAGATTTAAAGCATGCAAATGAAAGTTTGAACCAAGAAATTATGATTTTAAGGGCACAGGTCAGTTTGTTTACGCTACTTAAATGACAGACACGATGATGAATTGAGCACAATGTCATGCACTGCATTTGTTCTGATTAATTTGTTTACCGAGTAAAAAAGTGATTGAAGAAACTCTGCAGGTAGAAGATCTTACTCACAAATCCCAGAATCTTGAAGCTGAATTGGAGAACACGGCAAAGCAATTGAATGAGGTGACTGCGATAGCAGCAGATGAAGCGGAAAAAAGCAAATCTGCTAAGGAGGTTATAAAATCTTTAACTGCTCAGGTTTGTTATGTTCTTTCTTCTAGATGACTAAATCTTCTGTACGTCAGGTCTGCACAATTATTTGATTTGACAATGTATATATACACAGAATATATAAACAAATATATATTAACTTGATTTGACCAAAAAAAAAATATTAGGCGTTTTAATTCTGGATCAATCAATTTTTGAAAGTTCCTCCTAAATAAATTGGCTGCAGAGGCGACCATGTGCATTCTGGTTATGTTACTGATATGATCTGGTTCCTTGATAGTAAGTTTATTTAAAGCAGGATTTTCATGCTAGACAGAACACGGTGCGGTGCATAATCTTGAAATGATGAGAACTTACTCATTACTAGTGAACTCTCCTGCTGTCATCTTAAATTGTAGAGTCTTAGGTATTCGAGACCTTTTAAGACTTGGGAGCTATTGGAACTATAGCAATTGAATTGTCAACAGTTTTCGGTGGAGCTTGATGTATATTGAAATTTTATTTATTCCATGCATTAAATGAAGATTTCAACTGAAGTATTTAGCTTAGAAGGAATATGCATGTCCTAAGTGTGGTTGACCCTTCATAAAATGTTATGGTAGACAACATGGAGAATAAAAGTTGCTAAGAAAACACGGCATCCATTTTGATAACTTTGACCCGTTTATGTTATTTTGTAAATCTACAACGTTAACTACTGATCCGTTTTGGCTGTGGGATCATTGCTTATGTAACTATGCCTTTCTATTAGTCAATCTTCTGATCCTGTGGTTCTTTGACTGAAAGTTGAAAGAGATGGCAGAAAGACTGCCGGAAGGCCACACTATAAGCTGTAGTACGGTCCCAACTGCCGCACGTGACACAAATTTTTCAAATCAGATATCATATGAGACCACTTTGACAAATATGAACACTCCTGAAAGAGAATCCAATGGCAATTCCGTGAACCAAATCTTATCTAACGGATCTAAAGCACAACAAACTGGAAAAACAGAGTGGGTGATGCAAGATGAACCTGGCGTTTACATAACATTGTCTTCGTTGCCTGGAGGTGGTAATGAACTCAAGCGCGTTCGCTTCAGGTATGCCCATGATGCCAGCCTGTTTCTGCATAAAGCTATAAACATATACAGTCAAGCCAACAAAACAGATCATCTACTCCAACTCTTGCATCATACACCTTGCTAATATCATGGCATGTAATTTGTATACATTATTTAAATTCATTTATGGAGAATTGTAATGTCTTCCACAGTCGAAAACATTTCACCGAGGAACAAGCTGAGAGATGGTGGGCTGAAAATGGGGCCAAAACTTGCGAACGGCACAATGTAAGAAGTGAGTAGTGTGCGCATCATTCTAGTTACACGAGGAACAAGAGGAAACAAGAAAAAAAAGGGCAAGCCTACAATGACCATTTCCGACGACCTCTCCTCTGGAAACTGTAAATTTTCCCCCTCTTGCAGTGGAGTTTACCTCAGAAAGATCTTTTTGTTCTTTTTTTTTTTTTTTTTTTTTTTTCCAAAATTTTTGCTCAGAAATTAGCAGTTAGTTAGAAGAATTTTCAGAATGTAATTGTAGGAGAGACCCATTTTCAAAGGAAAAAGCATTGTAAAGGTGAATTACTTCTTTTTTGACGAATTAGAGTTTTTGCCTTTTCTTTTTCCTCCAAAGAGATTCTGCAGTCAACCTGGGTAGTTTACAGTTTTCCCCCTTTTCCTCTCTCTCTCTCTCTCTCTCTCTCTCTCTCTCTCTCTCTCTTCTTTTTCTTCTTTCCTTCTTTCTACAAAGTCGTTGAAGAACTACAGTTTTGCTCGAAATATGTTGAGACAATATGTACTCGTAAAATGATTCACTAAATGTGTAAATATATCGTTTTCACTTTGAGCAAATGACTATCGATTTGTACAAACGACAGTGGATCATGCGTAACCCACCTGAGCCTCAAAATTGTAAGAACTATAAGAACCGACACACTGGGATGATTGTTGATTTAGCAACACTTTTTTGTGTTCTAAGTTTTAACGATACAATGGGAAAATTCAAAAGTGATCGGAAAATGAACTAGGTTTTCCGAGAGGGTGTGAGGCTTGTGCCAATTGGGGTCTTCTCCTCCTTATAGGGTTGTGTTGATGGATCAGATAGACTTGGCAACCTTGAAACACTCCCCTTCCCTCTTCTGGCATTCGGTCCCAGCTCCTCTATCATGTATTTCCACCCATCAATTGGTCTCCTCCTACTAAATATGTGAGTCTTTATAAAACTAGCTATCTGCACATCAAAAATTCAGAACACCAAAACCGTACAGTTAGGAAGCAAAACGACAACGACAACAAGAAGAAAAACTTCAAATTATTTTCATCGGTGCCCCTTGAAGTACATTCTCATTTTGTCTCTTAAATTTTAAAAACTTTCACTTTACCTTTATTAATTTTGACTTTATCCCATTTAAGCCTTTTTATAAAAATTTATGTTCAAATCAGACATTAAAAAAGGAGTTAAATGTAGTCATCTGATATTTATTTATTTATTTTTAATAAATCTAAACAGAAAGGTCACGTGGCTGTGTTATTCTATTTTTTCTTTCCGTGTTTAGCAGAAATTACAACATAAAAGCTAAGTGAGAACAATTCAAAGTTCAGGATGCAAAAAGAGAGTTTTTAAAACTACGAGGCAAGCTGGGAATTTGGGTTCAGGGCCTGTAATAATAATACAAAAACTTAAAACTCAAAAAAAATTTATTCAAGTTCATGTTCTTTTGTAAAATTTGAGTCTAAACTTGAGTTTTAACTTGAGTTTAGAATTAAAATCTGAGTTCAAGTTTCTAAACTCAAATTCAAGTTAATGAACAATATTTTTTCTATTATTAAAAACGTAATAACTTTTTCGTTTTAATTTCGATTGAGATGATTTTTTTTCTATGCATTCACAATGAAGAGACGAATAAAACCCCACTCATATATCCCATTAAAATTTTTCATCACCATTGAGTTTTTATTAAAATACCAACCAAATACAAATTCAAGTTTTGACCCACCTAAATATAAACTCAAATAGATTCTTAATTCAAACCATAACTTAAAATGTGCACATTTAAACACAAACTCAAATTAAAATTCCAACTCAAACTATACTCAAATTAAGATCTGAACTCAAATCACCCTAACTCAAAAAATACAAATGAACAAGCCTCAGATTAAACAAAAATAGTTGTGATATCAGAAAAAGCTCCATTATTTTATTTTATTTTATTTTATTTTATTTTTTTTGAGGAAAAAGCTCCATGAATCTTGGAGTCAATTATAACTCGGCAGCAGGCAATATTTACAGAGCAATGAACAATCACTGAAAAAAATGCATGTAAAAAAAATGCAATTGTTATAAAGTTTGTAAACCTGGAATTTGCTGTAGGCAATTCGACGCTCAAACTCTTGGAGGAGAATATCCTCTTCTCTCTGTGTCATCTCCCACACATTCCCGTCTTGACTCTTTGACGTCGTTTCCCAACCATCAGGCTTGGATTTGAACTCGGAAGAGTTCGAAATCTTTCCATTCTCCAATTCATCATTCGCAGACGAATCAAAAATGCTTCCAATTATGATTACAGATTCAGCACAAACCCTAATAGAATTGAACACGAAAATTTTAAAATGAAGAAGAAATAATGGACGTACTCGGAACAGCTATCGAGCAATTTCTCGATATCATCTCCGCCACCGAGAGCCGAATCGCCTAATTTAGCCTCCTCCTGCTTCTCGATCTCCTTCATCCATAGCCCAGCGTGAATTCGCTGCTTCTTCAACCTGTAGTCCTTCTTCATATTCTCTAATCGGTAAAGCGATCCGCTTTCTCTCTCCAGATTCTGCCGGTTGTTCTTGCTCGCTTTTCGCCTCTCGCTCCAGTTCTCGTTCATGTCCTCCACGAACGCCTTCGTCTCCGCATCGGCGTTCTGCAGGAGAGCCACGCCGGAGTCAGACGAGGACGGGAAGTGGACGTCGCTCTCCCATGGCGCTCGCGCCTTTCCCGTCAGGTCCTCCGGGAGCCAAGCCGTCTCCCACGCGTCGTTCCACTCGTCGTCGACACCGCCGCCGCCGCGGTTCCGATTGGAAGAAGAATATGACGATTTGGCGAAAAATTCTCTAGTGTTAATGGAGTTGACAATTACCGAAGTAAATCTACAAGGTCGGAAACTTCTCGCTACGCGTTGAAGAGATTGCATTGGAATTCCTTCACAAAGAGTAAATTCTCGCAGAAATGAGAATCTTCTCTGCTTTTTCAGAGCGAGAAAACTGTGAACACCATTGAAGCTTAAACCCTAACTAGCGGAGAGACTCGGAATTCTGAAACGACGACGATTCGGGATTGGGCCTAACAAGAAGCCCAAAAAAATAAGGGAGGATTTGGGCTTTTATTGAGCTTTGTTCCCAGTTTCGGCCCAAAAATATTAGCCGATACTCAGAGTTAGGGTTTTCAAAGGTCGAAGAGGATTATATAACTATAACTTGTATTGCATGATTTGGTTGCCCTAGAGGAAGCTGAAGCTGTGCCTCCATTGAAGATCGCAGAGAGAGCTTGAGGACTTCAACGCCGGCGGCCAAGCATGGTGCACGTTTCCTTTTACCGCAACTGTGAGTTTCTTCTCTCTCTAATCTGCTTTTCCTGTTCTTTGATTTCATTTCTCCGAAGAGTATTTGCTTCTCTCTCTGTTTTTTTTTCTAGGTTTTTTCGGATGATTTACTCGGATATATGATATTATCGTTTGTTTGAATTCTCAAACTAATCATGTTGAAGAGAAAATTCACTCATAAGTTCTGATTCCGCCGATTTCTGAAACCAAATTAGCACATTAGTTAGTTATGTAATTTGCGACCATTTTTATAAGCACAAAAATAAAGAAATTGCAAGCAGTAGTTGTGTACTCCGTGTAAAAGAAATGAAAATCTACGCAAAATGTTCTGATTCAGAGTCTGAGCTAAAAAAAAAGTTTTATTTTTTTATTTTTTTTACAAGCATTTGCTCAAGATAAGATCTTTTTTTTTTTAATCTATAATTTTGTTCCTTTTACGTAGATGGGAAGACTTTTAAGAAGCCCAGACGCCCCTACGAGAAGGAGCGTTTGGATGCGGAATTGAAGCTTGTCGGAGAGTATGGGCTGCGGTGCAAGAGAGAGCTGTGGAGGGTTCAGTATGCGTTGAGCCGAATCCGAAACAATGCGAGAATGCTTCTGACGCTTGATGAGAAGAACCCGCGTCGGATTTTCGAGGGTGAGGCCCTGCTGAGGAGGATGAACAGGCACGGGCTTCTGGACGAGAGCCAGAACAAGCTCGATTACGTGCTTGCCCTTACTGTCGAGAACTTTCTTGAGCGCCGCCTCCAGACCCTCGTGTTCAAGTCCGGCATGGCAAAGTCGATCCACCATGCCCGTGTGCTCATCAGGCAAAAACACATTAGGTATGTAATATGGGCACTCCTAGTGCTGTTTCCTTTGCAATCAGTAAATAATGAAGATTGTAGAATTTCTATGGCCATTGCTATCTTTATTTGATTTGAAGAATAACCTTTTTTTGTTTGCTTCCCCGCTTCTGAGTCTGAATTTTAGGACAATTTCAGCTTACATTTATCCAGGAATTGGGTTCTAGGTTATTTTCAAATAACAGGATTTCTGTCTTCATTAAAGATGAGTTCTGTACATTACTAATTACTGGTTAAAGATATTAATTTCAAGCTTTTTCTTCAATCTATATTATGGTCTTTCATTTGTTGTGCATCACATTTGGGATTTTGAATGAAAATAGACTGAATTGGGCTTTGCCTGCTAATATTTATTTCTTCTTTACCTAGCAAGCAATTTAACTAAGTTTACCTCAAATTACCCAAGTGTAGAAGAATTAAACGCTATCATGCTTGGCAAGATCCTTTTTGGAATAACTTGTTTCAATTAACTTGGCCATCACAAGTGGCCATGAGTATGTTCTCAATTAATGAACAACTCTAACCCAATGACATGTTTTATTAATGGGGTTATTTTTTATTGACTTGGATTGTAATCAATGTTGTGTGTTTTTACTGGATGCGTTTCGGAAGTTTCGAAAATTTTGCAACTTGTCGCTACTCAATATCTTAATGTTTCATTCATGTACATTAGAGGCTTACTTAGTGTGCAATGAATCTTTTGTATTCCATCCTATTTGGCTTTACTTGTTAAGTCTTTTTTTTTTTTTGGTTGATATAGCATATAGTACGAATTAACTTACTTTTGGTCTGTTCAGGGTTGGGAGGCAGGTAGTCAATATCCCTTCATTCATGGTGAGGGTGGACTCACAAAAGCACATTGATTTTTCACTCACAAGCCCCTTCGGAGGTGGACGTCCTGGCCGCGTGAAGCGAAAGAACCAGAAGGCGGCTGCCAAGAAGGCTGCTGGTGGAGATGGAGATGGAGATGAAGAAGATGAAGAGTAAAGAGTAGAATCCTCAATTTAGGTATAGGGAGTATCCGCATCTCGTATCGGTATTCGCTTTCTTAGATACTCACTTATCTCGCTTTCTTTCTGTGGATTTGTAAACTTTTTTGGATATATGTTATAACCATAGGAATTTTTGTTTGAATTTTGTCCGCATCTTTTTTTAAGTCTCGTTATTGGATAATTCCGCTATTTGATCAAATTAAGAATTGAGTTTATTTGGTTTATGTTGGACCATTTTTCTTTTCATTCTCATTGCATTCATTCTATGTGGTTGTCGTTTTCAGTTGTGTAAACGCCTGAATTTGATCGAACCAGGGAATTTTAGTCATGTCATGTCTTCTCGTGCACTTGGCCGTTCATGGGGTGGATCTTTCTTCCGTTCTTCAAGGTCTCCTTTCTGCAGATAAATTAATCAATCAAAGGAAAATTTTTTCTTGGTACAAGTTTTAAATTAATGTTGCTTGCTTGGGGGTATCGTGTCAGTGATTTTGAAGACCAACTTTTTCTCACAAGAGCCCGGCAAAATAATAGTACTAAACATGAAAATGAGAATGGGCTATAAGTACACAAATTTTGTAAAAACTATGTCATGAATCATGATAAGCTTGAAAGATCCCATATAGAGTTCTTTACAAAGAGAAATTTGTACATTTTTACCCTGAATTTTGGGTTATTTTAAGAAGAATTCCATGTATTTTGCGTTTTGTCATTTGGGACGCAATTGGTTTTATGAATCTTTGGGTTGTGAAAAGAAACCTAGGAGAATGCTAGGGTTAAACGATTTCATGAGGATGAAGAACATCCTTTGTGCTTATGATGTCTATTTGGAAATGGATTTCTTGAAGCAGGGTTCTTGAATTGTTTATGGATTTTGCTTTCATACATCTTTTTTGGTCAAAAACTCTGATTTTGTTTTAGCGTCGTTTTTTCCCCCCTTCATCTGTTGCGAGGTTATTTTTCAAGGATTTTTTTTATATATTTTTCAAGGATATATAGATCGTTCATAGTTTTTGCCATTATATGGTAGAGAAATGATATCATTATTCTTTTTGTCGATTTTTGCATTCACTGTTTTACAAATTGCAGGAAACTAAAAATGTAAAAAATATTAGTTATGTCACTCTAATAAAAAATAAACAATTGTCATTTAATTAATAAACAAAAAACAAAAGGTCACAATGAACTCAATTAGTTTGAATGACAAATAATAGACATGTACAAAACCGTGACAAACATGTACTTTTCTTCATATTTTAATAAGAATTTAGGCACTATTTAGTAATATTTTGGAAACATTTTCTCCCGTTTTTTGAGGTGTCTGTTGGAAATGGTTTTGAAATCACCTGTAGTTTCGTTTTTTCTAAAAAAGAAAAATTATTTTTTATTTGAAAAAATGAGACAAATACTCTTTTAAAATGCACGAGTCTTGATTTTTATCATTTACTCTTCATTAATATTCTTTTAGTCAAATAACTATATAAGTCAAAAGGGTATTAATTAAGAATAAAGGATAAAAATCAAGACTCGTACACTCTTAAGAATAAATTCAATGGGTGCATTTGGAATTGATTTCAAAACGTTTTTGTTTTCTGTACGAAAATGGAAATGAAAACGTTTTCATTTTCATTTTTGAATAATTTCTGAAAATGCGTTTGGTAGTTTTATTTAGAGATTGATTTCAGTTTTAAAAAAAAAACTGAAACTGCGTTTGGTGGTTTCATTTTTGAAAACATGTAATAGTATTTAATATATTAAATAAATAATAATTGAATCACAAATAAAAACACTAATAATTAATAAAGTATGGAAATTACAATATTAGCTTAAATTATTGTCGCCTATACGAATCCCACATTTGATTAGCTAGATGATCCCTAAAATTAACCATGTAATTACGTTGTTGCGGACCACCCATTTAAGATATTTCTGCTTCTTATGCATCCATACCATGTTGTTGTTCCTGTTGCCCTTCTTGTTCTCCCTCAATATCTTCTACGAGCAAATCGACCTCATATTGTCTAAATAGAGGATCATCTCGCGCGTGCATCTTAATTAAATTGTGGATCATACAACAAGCTATTGGTATAACATTTTGTCTTGGCATCCAATAATTGGTCATATGCCTAAGAATTTTAAACCTTACTTTCAAGACCCCAAAGCACATCTCTATGCAATTACGCAGTGAAGAGTGATAATAATTGAATAACTCTTGTGGTCCCGTTGGTTGACCACCATTTCTAAACTGTTGAATATGGTACCTCTGACCACGAAATGGTGCCAAAAAGCATTGTGTGTTGCTGTAACCGGAGAATCAGCAGCAGATCCTTCCCATCCGGTATTGACATAAATGAATAGCATATCAAAACTACACGCCGCCATTACATTTTGAGTGCATGAATGTCTTCTTCCTCTGTAGACTGTCTGTTGATGTGCAGGTGGGACAACCATCATGTGTGTACCGTCTATTGCACCAATACAATCCTATTAAAATACATAAGGCGTGAGTTACGATTAATTTAAAATTATTTGTCATATTAGTAGTATATGA